ATTTACCGAAACAAATGGTACTTTCATACAAAAGTAACTGCTTATATATTTTTAATAAATTGGCAGGCTTGGCGACTACTATTTCGAATAAAAATAACCTCCAAAATGTCTTTGGTTGCAACTATGAAGGTCGCAACCCCCCTTAGAAATGTCACCTTTACAATCAACAGCTATTGTTTGACAGGTCGTTGGAGTGTCTAATATTGGAATGTATGGAATGTTAGACGTTAGGAATGATTGCAATGCGTAAAATAAGTCACATAAGAACTGCATGGGCGGATTTTAAGAATATTGATATTAAAGTAGTTAGGATGAACCGAAAATTCTGAAAATCAATAGGGTTTCTAAGTTAGAAGCAATTATTCAAGAAAATCAAAACCGCAAGTCAATCAGAACTTTCGTGCTAGAGTTATCGTGCCGGCATACATACGCACAGACGAATTTTTTTTGCACTCAGAATGATCGGAAACGTGAAAAAAAGTTTAATAAAATGGGGGCAAAAAAATTGTTTCGTCTGCATGAATGCAATACTGGGTCCCCTTAAGAAGGGCCTCAGTAACATATATATTAACTGTCAAATATAGAGCGAATCTGCAAAGTCTATTAAGGCTGGTATGTTTTTTGTGTTTCCTGAAAATGGCTGATTTTGGACATGTATCGTTTTGTAAAAAGGTCTTCAATTAAATTATGATCCTTTTGAAAATTATTTGAGTATACCAATAAATTCAATGTGATTGCCAAAATGTATAAGGTGGAGGAGGGTGGGTTGCTCCACACTTACGCCTCATAAGGTCCATTGTGCATCCTCCAGGAGATTATAGGACCTACCTCTCAACTTGTCAAAACCTGCTGGTTGTCACTGAGAGGTGTTTAGAGACAGCAATCTTCACAGCCCATCAAAGTCCTGTAGGTTTTATCAACTCGACAAAAACCTGCTGGATGTCGCTGAGGGGTGTCTACAGACAGCCATCTTCTCAGCTCATCAAAGTCCTGCATGTTATTAACTCATCAAAAACCTGCTGGTTGTCGCTAGGGGTTGATTTTAGGGTACCAAACCATTAGATAACATTAATAATGAAAAACATTAAATAAACAACTTCCAAATCGTAGTTCCACATGGTAACATTTTCAAAAAAAGTCTAACCACTATTTGTAATGTAAGAATGTACTATTTTTGCACTATTTTTAATTTTCATATTTAAATTACTACATCTGTAAGGTGGGGAGTGTGGGTTTCTCCACATGCCTCATAAAGTCCATTATGCATTCTCCAGGGCCCTACCTTTCAACTTGTCAAAACTTGCTGGTTGTCACTGAGAGGTACCTATCTATCTAGAGACAGCTATCTTCCCAGCTCATCAAAGTCCTACAGGTTAATATCAAAAATCTGCTGGTTGTTGCTGGGGGAGTCTAGGGATATCCAGCCTCTCAGGTCAAAGTCATTCAGGTTAATAATGTCAGCAAGAGGTGTCTCTAGATGCCCCCATTTTTCGGAAGTGGTCATTTGGTGGCCTTCTACCACCCCTATGGTAAATACTCGGGTGAAGCCACTCTACCTGCCTGCTGCACAGGACAATAAATTACTACTACATGTACTTGAAACAGTTTTTTTTGTACTCACATTTGTAGTACCTTTATTGCTAAATAAAGAATATTACACATATTAAAAATAACAAAAAAAAAGGGAATAAAGAATGTTTCATTGTTTATTAAGGTAGGGTCATGGCACTACTTATGGCCACCTTAAGGCAAATATGCTTTTGTGGGGTCTGTTTTTCAATAATATTGCAACAGAAAAAATAAATAGAAATACTATTTGATAGGTTAAAGTATATAGTTTTCAACAGTATATGCATCTACTTTGTTAAAAGCATGTAATTCTTTTTTACATTTTTTTTATAAAAGTGAAAGAAATTCTTTATTTTTGGCCATCAGTCTGCCACTAGTTCTCTACTTATGGCCACTAATTTATAAGTTGCATTTTTAAATATTAATTTAAGTGCATGTTTATTAACATGTATGTACCCAGTAGTGATTTACAATAGGTAGGGTATGACAAATTAAATTTTTTGCTAAAATATGAAATTTATTTTTCATGAACATTTGGGAAGGCGAGACCGAGACCAACTTCAAGCGCAAAGTGACAGCGAAGGAGACCGAAAACGGTCTCTAAACGTCTGAACACATGAAATTAAATGAAACACATTTGGAAAGGCGCGACCGATGACAGCACTTTTAGTATGATAGTATTTGCTGCTTGCTGCCTGCCACTTGAAGTCGGTATTGGTCTCGCGTTCCCAAATGGTACCTTAACCAATTTTTAACCTTGGTCTACTAGAGAATGCTCGGTTAACAGTCCTAAAACATCAAATATGGGAACAGTGGAAATCTCATTTTCAATATATATCCAAACGTAGTTTTTTCTTTGTGCTTTTTAAGCACTAGATTCCTATTTCATTCTCCATAGTTTTGCATACAACATATTTATTCATGGTCTTTTGCCACAAGCACTAAATTGTATCAATATATAAAGTCGCCCAGTTTTAATGTTTTGCCTAACTGCATAATCACTGCTGGTTCTATATCTGAGAAACTGCCACTGCTGTCAGTGACATTTCATCTTCTTAGCTAAAAAACCAAGTAACTCCCACAACCCATACAATAACTGCGGTGGCCATAACTCACGAATTCTTAATTTCTTGTCATTACTAGTGGCTACACTGATATATATTTTTATTTAAAAAAGAAAAATATGATGTTAAAAACAAAATACATTGGGTATTAACATCTACTTACCTTTGGAATGGAAAGTTTTCAAAAATATCTGTAATAAATCTAAGTTTTGTTCCAATGTTTACAGATAAATTCTTAGCCAAACCAACAAGTAATGCTTGCATGTATTACACATGCTAACTATTTATTTTACTGATTTCCAATGGACTTGGTTTATTAGTTGCAAACCTGCCCAATCATGTAACCACATGCTCATTTACCTTCTCCAACCACCATTTTTGTTTACAATGTTGCTAAACGTTTATTTTTAGGTCTTAAAGCAAGAAGTGGCCATAAGCAGGGTAGTGGCCATAAGTAGTACCATGACCCTATATTTATATTGTTTATATTTAAGAGAGTAACTACTTTAAATATTTTTTCTTATAGTAACACAAATAAAAATGTCCTGTAGGTATAAAAGGTACTCAATCATAAATAAAAGAATTGAAATAATCCATAAAATAATTAAACAAATAATTCAAATCTATTATTGATTAGGCTGATAATACATACTTATTAGACACTATTGCAATCCCCTTTTGATTAAATAATCATAATATTTTAATTTTAAATCTTTTAATTGATAATCAATGTTTTTTTTAATATAAAGTGAATGAAAGAGGCTAATATATTTTATAAGTGGGTACCAAATGTTTATTTTACTTTTGTTTAAATATATTAAATAACTATTAAAGACATCATTCATCCTGTTGTATCTCATTATTTCAATATTAAATAGTTTAATTTATATATTTTGAAAATAGGTAGGTAGTTCAGTATTCATTTAATTTTTTGTTTAATAATTATCAACACATTTGATCAGGTTAGATTTTGATTGCTAAAATAAAAAGTTATTGTTATAAATTATTACAAATTGTTTTTTAGAATGCAATTATACCGAAAATAGAAGCAATAAAAATACTTTTTCATAGATTGATATCCAAGAATAAGCAGATAATACAAGCCAATTTCCTTTTCTTTTCAGTCTTTAACTGTACCATTATCAAAAAGCAAACAAATAGTAAAAAATGTCTATACAATACCTAATAAGTATAGGTACTTATGTGGTCAAGTGGACTAAGTTAATGTATATATTTATAGCAAAAATAAAATTAAGATCCTATTTTAAATTATTACCTATAATTTTAGTTAAAATGTTTACTAGATACACCTAGACAAATATTTATGTATTTTGTAGTTATATTATTAATCAATTCCTAAACTTTGAAATTGGAAAAACAAGAAAATTCATAGATACCTATTTTACTAAGTATACATATTTTTTTCGATATTTTTTGACCTTTCACATTAAGTAACTAAATATTTTTTATACATCTAACTACTGATTTTTATCTTTTAAGGAGTATTTCGACAAAATATTAGACAGGTAATTGTTTATTGTTAAATGAACTTAATATCTAAGAGATTAAAAAATGTAAACACAAATAGGTAGGTGTAATCATTGTGTTAAATAATTTATTAGATAAATTGTGTTGATATTATTTTAATAAATATCAACATTAAGAAACTATTAAATAACTTAGTAGGTACCTGATTATAAATTGTAACAAGTGTATAGGGTACTAAACATAAAGTTAAGGTGCAACTTTTTAAATAATTTATTGTAAATAAGCAATATGTAAAAATTGTGCATTACTATATAAGTAAATATATTATAGAAAACAATTCTAGCAAAATTTTAGACTTTTAATAAGTAATCCAAGTAAAAAAATATTGTGATCAAGGGAAGCTCTTTATTCATATTAAAAATTATAAAAATAAACAATACATTTCAATATACTTATACACATCTCAGAATAATATATTTTGTAGCTTAATCATTTTTATTAATGCCCTCAAATCTAAAGAATTTCAAGAAACTTCAGACATTCGCTATACTAAGATGTAAACAGTAAAATATCATCTTTTCAGAGTCCAATGACACAAATATCGGTTCACTTTGTATTTTACCAAATTATTACTGAGAAAACTTCAATAATAATCGTTCTAAACAAAAGGAATTACAGTAGATTTCAATCAATAAACAAATTTAAGATATTCAGTAGATTTTTAAACTGTTACAGAAGGGTTTTTAAAGCAAGCTGTTCAATGTTTTGGGAACACACGCGTTTGCATGGTAGTATTTTCGACCCTTATCGAAAGATAAGCCAAAAATATCGAGCAACATTGATCTAATTATATAAATAATAGTATAATTAATCACTTACCAGGTGCTTTGTTAGCTACTTTATTAAAACAAGTTGTAAAAACTTCATATAAATGATGCATAGGTTCATCGTCACTGGTAGCCATTTTGCACACACTACACCAACTGACAAATCAACCGACACCCAGCCGCCGAATTGTCAAATGAGCTGGCGGGAATATTTAAAATTAAATAACTGGAGTTTTAACTCGCAATAAAGAAATAATCGAAGTAATGAGCTTTTTTTATTAAGGTAGTAAGTTAGTGTAGATACTGTATTAAGAGTTAAAGATTTTATTAAAATACATATTTTCTTATTATTACTGATTGACAGCATACAGGGTGTCCCAATAGGTACCCCTAAGACGGATAATATCCTAAAGCTAAAGGAATAGAGATATCTATTTTGATTATATAAAAGCTCATCTCTAGAGTATAAAGAGAGCTTTGGTTTCGTATGTAAATTTAGTTTGACTACATCAATATGTAGATGGCGCTACTTTAAGACGTCGTTTTTTTAATGAAAGAGACTTTTATTTTAAATGTAATTTATGTAAAAGAAATTGTATTTTTAAGTAGATTTTATTCTATAAAAAAATCGTTGCCAGTTATCCTTATTGAATTAATTGTAATCTGGAACTTTTGAATCTTTAAGTGGGACAATCGGTATTTAATTTTCAAATGAATTCATATTTAAAGCAATTTTCTTTTTCATTGGTGTCTTCGGTTTCAAAAAATTAGGTCATTATAGCCTCGTGATCTCTGTAGGTTAGTTCCGCAGTTCTAGTACTCTAATACTCCATAGTAAGGATGAGTACTACTCTAATACTCCTACAAGACAGGCCTTTTTACTGTTTCTCAGCGCCACTTTAGGAACAGCCCTCTTAATTAGAACCTAACAGTGAATGGTCGAAGTGTGAAATCCTAACTATGCAAAAGAATTATTTTGAAAAAAATTAATTAAAAAAACCAGAGCCAGCGATTTCGTGAAATCGTTGGACACATTTTACGACAAATGTCTATTTTTACGACAATGTAGTGGGCTGCCGACATTTGGCTGGGCGGACATGCCCGACCTATAGGTATATGCCGAAGCTGCACCCCGTATATATCGGGCCGAGTCCGGCAAGCCTCTTTTGGCCCAGTTACGGTGCCGATTAACTGTGTATATATTGGGTACCCAGTGGCGTAGCCACGGAGGTCATAATCTCTCACCCCATATAGGGCCTTAACGACATCGTTTCCGATATCTTATTGGCGCTGATCGTTATTATTAACTGTTTAATTCACTTTTTTTATCGTTTTATAAAAATGATTTATTTCTATGACTCCTTCATCGGTTTTTGAACCGTCTGTATACCAGACTAGTTCAGTCTGTATTCTGTATGAGAGGTTCCTGTTTCGAGGATACTCGGATTGGTATTTGGATTTGAAAGTTCCTTTCAGATGTGTATTTGATTATGGCTGTAACAATAGGCATTCCTAGAATTTTGTCCTTTATTACTTGTAGGTATAGCCTTGTATGGTCAACGCTATGTTGTTGACTAATTGAGTTTTGACTCTGCATTAGCCTGTGATTGATAGACCTTGTATGAAGATGTGCAGTGGTATGACGTATAGTATTACCTCCAATGCTGCAGTTGGTGTAGTACGCATGGCCCCTCTGTGGCACTCAGACAGGCGAGCCGATGAATGACAGTGTGGATTTTTATTTATTAGTGTCTTCGACAAATCCTTTTTCTTCCAGAGTAGGATTGGATATATTCCATTCGGCTCCGGGTTAATGGTCCAACTGATTGTTGAGGCCGGAAAGTGCACGTGGGTTAGTATATATCTAGACTTTTCTCTAGTGTCGTAGTGTAAGGATGACTGTTCATACGTACGAAATCCGACAATACGATGATCTGAACATTTTTCTAATGACTGATTGTTTAAAAAAACATATGACAGGATGAATAATCGGATAAAAGTTAAAATTTATTTAACTTCTCCGAAGTCAAACAGCTAATAGGAACATATTCGGATCATTGTACCGTCGGATATCGTACGTATATGAACAGTAGCCCTAAAGTGTCATCCTTTTTTTTATGAATCCGACTTGGGATAAAACCCTATCCCAGGCGGACTATAAAACTTATTATTTCTATATAATTCGGATAGCCAGGCAGCTCTCAAGGCCATGCGTTCCAATCAGGTTGACCCAGAGCCGCTAAAAGATGGGTTGGACTGTATAAATACTCTTGAGTGTGTCGGAGCCCGGGACACAGCGGTCTGGAGGGCAATGAAAAATCCTACGCGCTCGCTAAAAGATAAATCAAATCTGAGTTCATAGGACCAGAACCATTCCTGGGTATTCCAAAGAGTACTGTGCAAAAAGTGCCAAAGAAATTATCTTAAAATGGACGGAGGATGTATAATACTCACGAACTGGAGAGATACCCCATGGCTATTTCATTCGAAGGCGTTTATAACCAACCCTTTCATGAACGCCGCTGCTTAGAACCGAAAATGGAGTAGGAAAGAGCTATGCTTTTTCACGGAACTGATGACAGAACACTGTCGTCTAGGTAACCACACAAAAAGGATAGATGTGCAATAAACACCGGACTGTCGATTTTGCAGCATGGAAGACGAATCCACAAGCACATTTTATGAACCTGCTCCGCTTTGGAAAGAACTAGAGGTTCCAGATCGAGATTCATCAGACTGGAGACTATCGACTTTAAAAAAGTCTCACCCAATTCAACCATGACTTTCACTAAAAGATGTGGCTTTTACGGTGAACTTGTTAGACATGAGCCACAATAAATCCATTTGAACCCTCGTATGTTGCCGACAATTGAAAAATGCTACGTTATTTATTCATACGCTATGATCTAAAATATCAAAAATATAGTGGAAAAGAACCAAGTGTTTTAGAAGTTTGCAATGAACGTGTGCCTAAAATTGAAAACATTTGGAAAGAGGCATCAATTCCAACCGTTTCAAAAGACAGAATTGTACAATTAATACGGAAGTATTATGAAAAATATAAGAATTTAATAAGATATCCCAGAAACAAGCGAAACAACAGCTATGATGAAAAGGTAAATATTTACATTTAAAATAGTGTCATAAAAAGTTACTTGACATAGCTGCTTGTAAATGCGATTTTTCTGTATGCATGTGTGAAAAACCCGGAAAGTACCTACTAAGGAACAAAATTTTCTTTCTGATTAAAGATCGGTCAGAAAAATGAGCACAGGAAATGTAGATCGTGAAGAAACAAAGCAAATATTGTCGAATAAACAAAGGCAATCCAGAGAAATCGAAAGGCTAAAAAAATATGAATCAGAATCTTGCAATTTATTAAGACCCAGCTGTTCCTCTCAAACTACTACATTATTGTCAGGGACAGAATCTAACCCATAAAAATATCAATCCTCTTCAGATGACTGAATCAATCCAAACTTACCCTCTACCTCAAAAAACACTCAAATGAGAACAAAGTTACCTACGTTAGGCCTTATATGCGATAAATATGGATATCTGATCGATCAGCTGGTGCGATTGCTAGTGCAGTATTAAAAGATGTAGGAATAATTATCAGAGAAGATCCGTCAAAAATAAAGTGGGAAGAGGGCGAAAGAAATCTAGGAATACTGCAAGGAAGGAGTTTGAAAGTGATAACAGAAGAATAAAAAGTCTATTTTGGAGTAAAAGCCAAAACTTTACTGCAAGAGAAGAAAACCGGTAGATTATACAAGAAAACTGTTATCGAAGAACACATAGCTTATCGAGTAACCTGAATCTATCTATATTGCCCACGTAACTTCAACTACAGGGACGGCAAAGTGAATTGGAAAAGCAATATTGGACGACTTTTTTACTAAAAACAATTTGGAACTAGATGATTTGGCAGCTGTAGGTTGCGATGGTACTGGTGTTAACACCGGTAATAAAAATGGTGTTATTAGATATATTGAGACGACTGAATTGAAACGTCCTTTACAATGGCATATTTGCCAACTACACGCCAACGAATTGCCAACATCAAGCCTTACGGATATGGCCGAATTCATAATTAAAGTGTATGCCCCAATGTGGTTTAATATTAAACTAAATTTCTCTTCCACTAGTGGTAGTTTGCATGTATTTAAAACGATTGAATTGTCACGGCATTTAACCTGTTAACCGAGCGGGACGTATAAATATGTCAAACGTAAACAATATCGGGTACGGGTAGGACCTTAGATAAAAGGTAGGACATATCAATACGTCCTTGGTGCAGATTCATGATTATAAGAATTTTATAACATTTTTTTTTTTATTAAGACAATTATTTTCTTGAAGATATAAAAAATCTAAATTTGAATAGTTTAAAAAATAACTTTGATTTAACTATGAAGAATAGATAATGAGACGAATCGGCATACTCAAAATACGGTCCCAAAAAACGCAGGCTAATTGAGCTTTTATAATTAACCGCATGGTACAGCTTACGGTGTTCAAAATACATGGGTTCTTATGAGAATTATACATAATTTTGTCAAAATAATAAAAATAAACTTGTTTATAGTTAAATAAAGCACAAAACATACTGTTGTATTTATTTCTAAATAAGTCTTGCATGTTTTAATTGATATTTTTTTTAATTTTATCTATATAAAATAAAAATTAGGTATGACCAAAGGTTTGTTAAATGCTGCAATTTGATAAGTACAATTTTGTGGCAATTTTTTTTTTGAATTGAACCTATATAGTTTTAAGAGCAAAATAAAACACAGTTAAGAGATTTTTTATTGTTGTAATACAAGTATAAAGGGAGATTTGGGAATGTATATGGTATTACCTCATCCTTTAATTTCAGCTTTCCCCTTTTTATTTTGCTAACAGTACCATCAGTAAAAATAGTCTCATAATATTTGATATCTTCTAAAAAGTATAAAACAGCATCATCTCTAGAAAGTGCTTTATCGACACTAGGAACGATATATAGGCTGCCACTGTTTTAAGCGTTTAGTATCCTATAAAAGATATTTACAATAACATAATACGCTAATTCAGTGATGATGGTTCTACTGACAATTAAAGTGACATTAGATTTTTTGAGTTCGTTTTGTTTACCTTAATTATATCGTTTTTTTTTACTTTTATAAATATATTCCTAAAGTAAGTAGATAACATGCATCAAATATACAATCGTTTAGTTACCAATTACATACCTTTAAACTATTTTTTATGACCTGTAAACAATATTTAGAAATAAACTAAAAACAGTAAAAACGTATATGTCAAATTTATTGATATTTTTGTTAAAAGTTTGATTAGAATTAAATGTCAGTGGAACCAAAATGACATCACACCGAACTAGCGTATTGGGGTTTAAAAAAAATAACAGTAGCAACTCTTTATCGTAACATTAAAACTCTATAAAAATAAATTTTCTTTTCTAGTAAGTTAAATTTAATGTATAATTATTGTTGTTTGTAAAAAAAATGTAATCTGGACAGCTACATCTCGGATAAACAAACGCAGATGTAGTAGTAGATGTGGATAAACAAACGCTCGAGATGTAAAAAATTCATCGGATGAAATATTCAAATGCGGCAAGACTACTTTGAGTTATAATTTACTAAAATGAGTGCGATGTGACACCGCTTCCTGTTTTAAGGGATTTTACTGATGATAATCTTAGGGACCTTATAAACGAAACCGAAATTCCAGACTTTGATTTTCCAAAGTTCCTTTGTCATACTCAATCCGTGGAGATGCGTAAAATTAGTTACAGTCATCTTCTTTAGTAATTGGTCCAGAATCAAGAGACGGCTTTATTCGCTCAAGAATAAAATCAAAAGAAATTTTACCAACATTTGAAAGTAAACGACAGTTTAAAATTCAGTAAATGTTTTTTTTATTGCTATGTTTGATTATGTTAGGTTTGATTTGTTAGCTTCTGTTTGTTTTCTTTAGGTACTTTTTATCATTTTTTTTTTTTTTTAATAAATGTGTTTAGTTTTAATCCTGTATTATTAATTTGTTGTTCAAGTAATTTTTACCTTAGCGTTTAAAGACAAAAGGATTAAACATTGGTTGAAAGAGGTAGCAGAGGGCTGAAGATGTTATTTAAAAATATTGACAATAAAAAATGTGAATACAAAAACACTAAAATGTAACTTTCAGTAGGTACTGTAGGTCAAAATTTCAAACTTTAACTTTTTACCCCTAAAGGGGGCGGTAGAGGGCTGAAAATGTGGATTTAGAAATTTTAAAAAATTAAGAAAAGTAAGCACAGCAAAATTGTAATCTTTATTTTTATATTTTTTAAAAATATGCCTATTTCAGCCCATCCAAAGTACTGAATACCATAAAAGAATCAATTGAAAACCATTTTTTTGCGGAAAAAGTTTTTAGATATTAGTTAACATTTTATGCAGGTGTATTTTATGCACAGGTGCATTTTTCAATTTGAATCAAATATGTACAGGGTGGGTCAAAACTCAAATACATCATTTTCTATTTTTTTTAATGTATTTTATATCACCATTCAAAAGTACCTTAATTAAGTTTTATTTGAGTCGAGTATTCCCTATACACAAAGTTAATAATTTTGGCAGATTTTTTAATTTAAATGACAAAAAAGATAATTCACAAAATAACTGGTCACTACTGAACAGGAAATAAGACTGTCAATTAGTGATTAGAATTTAACCAGCTATAACTTATCGACAATACGGTTTGACAATTTCTAATAGGACTTTAAGATTCAGTAAAAAATAAAGATCAATAACAACAAATTATAGATTTGCCTCATTATAATGTCTCATACTTACAGTCCATTATTACTAATGTCTTTTAAAAAAGTCTAGTCAAGTTTTTAAAATTTAGCCAATTTTTTAAAGTCTAGCCATTTTTTTTTATGACCTTTGCTTGTGAATCAGAAATATTTCAAGAGTTTTACATAAGTAGCATTCTTAGTATCAAGAGTATTAAGTTTGCACTCTTTAACGCTACTCTCCGCATATTGTAATCTAATAAATAACAAATATATTTTATATACGCTGCAAAAAAATTTAAGTAAATAAAAATTTGATAAAACTTAAAATAAATTTTCGATGAACAAATCCCATATACAGTTAAAATAACTTTTATACTTTTACAGTAACAGTCGAAAGTTAAAAAATTACAAGAAAATGGCGCCAACTGGTTTTTGAATTTATTTAGTTCTATAACACTAATTCCGCAAAATAAATTTCCACATTTCGGTGTTGTGAGTACTAGGCTTAAGAAATGATACAAGAAAGTTCTTGCAATGAAAATATTATTCTATAATTACAATTTTTAACTACATTTTTATTATATTGTCTTTACGACCCGTTAAATGGTTACTACTTGTAATAAATAAACAAACTATTAACATAATCAGCAGTAAGAGTATTGACGAGATCATTATAACGGACATTTAGACATTTAAAAATAGCAATATTGTGTTTTTAATTAGTAAGTTATTTCAAACAATAAAAAGAAAAATAACAAATAATTTCCTTAATTTTATTTCAAATATGTATACTTAAAATTCCATGACAGGCGATAGAAGCATAAAACTTTAAATAGCAATATCACAAAGGATTGCATATAACAAACAAATGGCAATATACAACACATCAGCAATTAAAACTCATAATAAATAAATATACTAAACATTTTACCTTTAACTAAAAAATATAAAACATCTGCGTTTACAGAATTGATTTATTTAAATTCATATTAACATTCAGTCATTATTTTGTAGTTCTTCTTCGTCAGTTAGAGTATTTTCTAGGCGGTCTTCATCCCTTACATGCTCGGTGGTGTCGGTGTCATCTCCCGGACCTTAAAAATACAGAATCTATTTTCTTTTCAAGTTTTTATGACTTCCAACATCTAGGCCTATTAACCAAACCATATTTTTTACATGTTTGTTATTTAAGGTGTTTTTGAGCAGACTTTGTAACTGTTTTCAAGTGCTACTTTAGGAACAGCACTATTAGAATTAAACAATGAACAGTCGAGTGGAGAATAGACCCTAGTAATTTTAATTAAATTCATTAAAATCAGTCCTGTTTTAATTCATCAATAATCTAAGTTCAAGAGGTAAGACATTTTTTAAGTTAACAATGGTACACATGATATCTCCTCGAAGGCATCCATGTTCCCAATAATTTAAAATTAAAATTTACAGGAATATTAATAATAACTGAAGGGATCTATTCTGTAACAAAATTATTAAACACTAAGTTATAAAAATGGATTAAATGCTTGCTTCCAAAGTGGTAAAATATTGTACACTAGTACACATTGAGCCCCACTAGTACAAAAATCAAAAAAGGAAAAAAATTCCAACTCAAATGTGACCAAGATGTAAAATAAAATAAATAAAACAAAGTCATATGTTCCCTTCGGAAAACAACTAAATACTAGTTATAAATAAATTTTTGTAAGATTTCTTTTTTGAAGATGTTATGTTGGGAATGGGGAGGGATGTTATTGAGTAAATGACCTTTATTTCAATAATTGTGCTTTTAAAATGTTAAATATTGGTTAAAGATGGGGCATCATATTTATTATTATATATACAGGATGTTTGAGCACACATGTTACTATGACGGTGTGTCTATCTAGGGTTATTCCTAAAATGATACTTATTTTTAAGCGTGTATAAAAGTCATTCAAATAAACATTTTCAAATAACTTTTTCAAAAAAACTCAAAATTAAAACACATTTTAACAATATTAGTGCTACAGAATTGAAGAATGCTATATAAATTAGGAACAAATATGGGTTAAAATGTTTAAAATACAAAACAATGGATATTTGTATTTTTGTGCATTGTCTGCAAAAAAGGGAAATATTTTATTTACTTTTCTTCATTTTTCTGGAGTAATTGTCATTGTTTCGTTTTTTTTTTTCATTATAATTTTTTTCTCTCTATTTTTTAAAAAAGTCTGTTTGTGTAACATTTAAATCACTCCATCCATTTTAACGTTTTATTGTCTTAAAAAAGTAACTACAATAATAAATACTTGTTGGTTTTATAATACCACTAAGGAGGCACATACAGTGCTGAAATTTGAAAAATGCATGTTAATAAATCAAAAGTCATATAATAAAATTGCCCACACCATACATGCATACATTTTTATTTGTCCACCTTTGTTTTATTTTCTTATATAAATCAAAATTATATGATAGATTTTCTTAAGAGCGAACCGGACCTCTCAGGAAAGCAAAAATGTTTTAAGGATTTTCTAATTTAAAATTTTATTTAAATGTGCACCACTGGGAATACTTCGTCTTGAGAATATTGAGAGCATTAAATGTGTGCAACGATAAGGCAATACTCTACAGAAACGTTTAAGAAAAAAAGGTGGGAAATCCTCTCATTTAAAAACTACTAGATATTTATTAAAAGAAAAACAAGCAAATTTTCATCGATTTAATACAGAATGGCGCGTAAGTTTTTTTTAATTACTTTTAAAATTTTCAAAGGTTTACAAAAAATTCAAGGTTTCTCCACCCTAAGTTTTGTTATTATTGGTATTTCCTGAAAATTTCACAAAAATCGGACTAAAAATAAAGGCTCTAAAGGAATTAAAAATTTTCGAGGTCTTCAGTTTGCTCTTAAAGGAAAAATATTTTGACAATGCTTCTGAAACAATGAAATTTTCAGCAACTCCATCTCTTACATGACTTAATTTTTTCAGTACCAAATACAAACTATAAAAGTTATCTTTAATAGTAGCTTTTAAAAAGAAAAATGCAAATTTATATTAGACAAAACTTACCAACAACTAGGGATAAAAATGGTATATATGAATAAATCTGTCTAGTCATATAAATCAAGAAGTTGCAAAATCTGGCAATATATCTTATGAGAGTCCTGATGGAGCCTGAAATAATATAGATAATAGATATAGGGTGATTACAAATAATAAATGAAAACGACAATAGAGAAAAAATCACCCAATATCATTATCAATAAAAAATGTGGCAATGGATCTTTTATCCTAGAGTAGAAGTTCAATTCAGTTTATAGCAATGTATGTGCATCAAAAATATAATGAAACATTGTATTAATTTTCATTAAACATCAAAACTCACCTCTAACTGTCACAGGACCTTTATTCCTACATGTATTATAAGAGCCACATTGTTGACATTTAAATCCTACTACGTGAAACTTTACTGTGCTTTCCTTAAAGAAAATAAATATAAAATATTATAAAATTGTTAATATTAAAAATTTAGAAGTATTCCATCAAAAATCAAACAATCAGTAAGCCAATTTTGATATTATTTATTAAAATACCCCTTATATCGACACGGACATCGAAGAAGGTTGTAACTCATGATATATCCTTTATTTTAATGTATCTCACTTCGCAATGGCTTGGCTGATATTCGTTTGAAAAAAGTTATATTTGTACCATTTCAGCCAAATACCTCTTTCATATTGCCAAATTTTTTGGTTTGGAATATAATGTAGCATATTAAAAGATTGTAAAATGAGTTACATATTTTTTTAACATAGTAATAAAAAATATACTCAACTTAATAATGATTTATAAAATTTAAACATTCATTATCTCATAAGTAACCTGCACTGTGTTCTAATTATCCTATTTGTTAACTATTACAGTATTATACAGCTTCTCCACAAATATTTAAAACCATTTTTAGTTTTATAACGCTCCTGAAAATCACTAAAATTGAGTTAAAACCTTCTTTGATAGGGGTGTCGATATATCAATGAATATTTATAGGGTCATTATTTTTTGTAAATATAAATTCAATCATTTTTCGTAAAATCAACAGTTTTTGCGTAAGAGCATTGCAAAGTATAGTTCAACACGTGTTTTGGACAAAAAAAAAAACTCATTTCCACACCAAATTGAGGTAGAGTATATGGCGCGTTGTTTTTATCGTGGTATCCCCAGTAGACTTAATCCACATGCAATTCACTATCCCAAAATTTAGTGCATTCTTTTTTGCTTCGATGGTCTTGATGGGCCAGGTGTCTTCAGTACCAATCAAAAGTAACAGACCGAAATTTCTTCCAAATCATCTATGATGGGATGCATGCTTTACAACATCAGCATATAAAAGTAAATTTAATACAGACAGACAGATCGTACCTCTAATATCACCTCTAATATAACCTTGACTAAGGTTTAATGTTAGCAAGCTTAAAAATCAGATAAATGAATGAGTTGTTGAAGATGTGCTATAGACACATAGATGTCCATTTCTGTAAAACTTTCGACACATCGTCTTCTTAACATGCAAATGTCGTAAGTCCCAAAATATAAATTTTACACTAGGTTACTAAAAAACAGTTTTATTTATTGGGTTGTAATAATTTAAGTGAAAAAACTTCGTAATCATTAAAAAATAGTAAGAGGACTTGTATTATTTAAAGTAAACGGCAATTTTATGAGACTTACTACCTTTAATGTTAAATTTTAATATTTTTGGACTTACGACATTTGCATATTAAGCCGACGATATTACTATTGTGCTCATGTATGCCTGATTTAAAATATTTTACAAAATTGAATTTAACCTTCAATTATTGGTAGGTTTTTAAATAATATTTATGCATATTCTAGGATAGTTTAAATAATATGAATACATATTAATATATTAAAATCAATTATTCTTATTATGACCTACTGATTGTCAAATTGAAAAATGAATAGAGTACAATAATTGATTGTTATTTTTACTAAATCAAATACCTTATGACAATCCTTGCACAAAATCTCTACAAAATAATTGCTATATTCTGAAGGCATAGGTGTATTTTCAATTTCCATATCCCAGTATTTCCATAATCGTTCCATGTTCATAAGAGACGTCTGGCAGACCGGACAGGCAAAGAGTCCATTGGTAAGTAAACCTTCATAACAAGGTCTATGTAACAGATGTCCACAAGGAGGTATGTGGCACGGTATTCGAGAAGTATGGATATCTTCTAAACATATGGGGCAATTGGTTCTAGATACATTTTCTACACACTAAAACATATGAAGGTATTATGAGAATAATTGAAAATAAAAATCAAAATGTTATGTAAAAACTTATGTAAGAATAAACAAGAGGTTTAAAAAAATAATAAAAACAAAAACTTTTTAAAGATATGTCTTTTATATTTGAACTGTCTGAGTGTCATCAATGGAAAACGCTATCAGTTCCTACTATTTGCAGATGATCTGAAAATCTTTAAAATTGTAGAAAGTATATCTGATTGTTTTCGATTTACAAACTGATATTAACAAAGTAGCATTATGGTGTAATTTAAATTGTATGAAATTGAATTTAAATAAATGTTTTTATATTAAGTTTAACAATATAGATTATACTTCTGTAACTGTAACTAATATTAACAACGTAGCATTATGGTGTAATTTAAATTGTATGAAATTGAATTTAAATAAATGTTTTTATATTAAGTTTAACAATATAGATTATACTTCTGTAACTGTATCTGTAACATGTGGAGGGTGGGCTAACCCACGGCACTTAGGCCTAACTAGGCTCATTGTACATACTTATTGTATCAATTCATTGGATCTTGAATTGGTGACCCAAATATGGGATGTTGGCGTAATATTTGTTGAAACACTTTTTTAGAATACATTAAAATTATATCATTAAAAGCCAGAAAGAATCTCTAATGGTCTCTCGTTCTAATGTGGAATATGCAGCACTTGTTTGGGGCGCTTATTATTGCACTCACATTAATAGACTTGAAGCAGTTCAGCACAAGTTTCTGATATGTTCAGCATATAAATTATGGGTTGGTGTAAATAATTACAATTATGATTATGCTGACTTATGTTCCAGATTTTGTAGAGTTTGCAGAACTGAAGAACTCAATTAGATCTATGCTTTTTATTCAAGCTTTTAGTCTTAAAATTAATAGCGGAACCAGAGCTAATGACATTTTTATATAGAAATAGACATATTTCATTCAAAGTCAAAAGAAATATTACTACAATCACTTTCTTAATTACACTTGAGTGTTGTTACTGTCAAACTCATTTATAAAAAATGTTTTACATGTTATATTTTTTGTTTTTGTTTACTTAGTATTTGGGCATGTAACATCTTTTTTACTTGTAGTAAAATGGGGTTTTCCTGTAAATAAATAAATATAGCACGAGACGGAATTAGGCAAAAAAACATCGCCAGGATAAAACAGTACAGGGACAAATAAAGCATTCACAAAAAGTGATTAGATAAAAATGGCATTAGGATGTAGTAGAGTGATGATAAAATAGTAAGAATTTAAAAAAGTGCTAGGCCAAAATATCACAGGAAAAATTAGCGCTACAAAACTCACAGGTTAGGTAAATTAGTTTAAGTATTTTTTTTTTAATTTAATAGTAATAAAAAAATCGGTTTGTCACTATTTAGTGATATTGTATCCATAGTAATAAAAAAGTGGTTTGTCACTATTTACTATTTAGTGATATTGTGTCCAAAGATATTTTTTCCAGTCGTACATATTTATTGTTTGTCATATTCTCGTAGACAAGTTCCAGTGCAATGTTATCAAATTACTAATCATATATATCATATAAATATACAGGGTGGCTCACGTTCAACGGGACGGAGCTTATGGGAAAACGACCAAAGATATAACAAATTCGTTTGGGAGGAATACGTAGGTTACAGACGGCTACAATTTAAAATTTGTTAGATGTATACAGGATGTCCCACATAAGAGAAAATATACAAAGTTATATTATTTTTATTGGAACACCCTGTTTTTTATTTTAGAATTAAAAACTACATCAAAAATAATGTCAGTTAACTAAAGGTTCCCTATTACTATTATTATTAGTTTTCGATTTATTTGAATTTTTAAGGAAAAAAAGTCTCCCAGAAATTAATTGTTTACTCTTGTTTGAATAATTTTTAATGAACTAATTTTTTTTCATTTATGTGGGACATCCTGTATACATCTAACAAATTTTAAATTGTAGCCGTCTGTAACCTACGTATTCCTCCCAAACGAATTTTTTATATCTTTGGTCGTTTTCCCGTAAAGCTCCGTCCCGTTGAGCGTGAGCCACCCTGTATAAATGCGAAAATTTGGATGGATGTATGGATGTTTGTTGCTCAATCACGTAAGAACGGCCGAATGGATCTGGATGAACAAAAGCTAGTAATTTATAAGTTTAGGCTGCATGAACTGTCGATCAGGTTGAAAACTTCTATTTTGTTCATATTAGTATTAGTGACATTTGTATTTAAAATAAGCTTATTCTTTTAAATTACAAAAAAGTGCTATTTGTCACTCAGTGCTAAATTGTCCAGTCGCTATTTGAGGCATTTAAGTCGACACACCCAAATATTGTGACAACAAAATTATATGAAAAAATGTATCAGACAATGTTATTCAACATTGAAGAGGCAACAGACCAGTTTCAAGTGACGTTTGGCTGAATCTGCATTTTCAAGGACTTTTCAAGGTCAAATTTGTTTTTCAAATAGAAACCTGTAAAATGCAATCAAGAAACGTTTCAGATAAAAACATAGAAAAATAAAAAGAGAAGGTTTAAATAAATGGCGGGACTTGTTTCCTTGTTGGTAGTTGAACTGTAAGCGCTTAGCGCGCTGCTATCACTAATTTCAAACCCGTTTTACACCCATAAAAAAATGTTTTCAAAAATAAAGACAAAGAAATCAATAATTTTACTGATGTACCCCTTTAAATTTCACTTTAATAATAGGTCTTTTCCTTTGCATCGAAAGTGTAGCACTGGGCTACACCAATTCTGAAAATATCGTTCCATATATACAAATTGTATGGATGGAACGATATTTTCAGAAGTGACGTAGCTCAGTGCTACACTTTCGATGCAAAGGAAAAGACCTATAATGTGTGATCAAATACAGGGATAATCGTTAATAAATTTAAAGTTGAAGCTAAATTTAAATATTATTAGATGGTGTAAATCTGGCTTTGAAAATAAATTAGGTTATGTTGCTATAAATAATAAATATGTCAGCCTGAATCTGGCTGATATTATTTTCATTTTCAAATGCAGGTGATATTTTTATTAGTGTAAGTTAGATTTAACTAATTTAACTATAGGGAGGTTCTTAAGAAAATCATTAACTTCTGATTTATTTAAATTTTAATTGCAGAAGTAAGTATTTTTCTCACAAAACTAACAACAAATTTTATATTTTTCCTACTATTATTACTCTAGAGATAAAATGGATCCACATTTTAAACATTTATGGTCAAAAAAATGAAAGAAGTTGTGAGGGAAATGTGTGAAGCCAATTTACAAACAAATATTGTAGAACCCGAGATAGAACCTCATCCTAGTTTTACTAATAAAGACAATGATGAAAAAAGGCGAGAATGATTTGTGCTCAAAAAGTTATTGTTCAATTTTTGGGTGATATTCATTATTATATTTATCAAATAATACCCAAATATGTTCAAAAACTTATATGCTATTTAGGTAAACTTGTTAATTTTTGCATAGTTCGCCTATTAAGATCATAAATCAGCTGTTTTATATTTTTATTGAAATTTTTATACCTTCTATTGCAAGAAAAATGTAAGAATTTAAAAAAGTTATGACTTGTGTTAATTTTTAATTTTAAGATACACACTGCACCTTTATTTTTGTTTTGTTTTAGATATTCCTCGGTATGCAGATTTTTGGAATGTACATAAATGTGTTTATTAATTAGGGTGAGTTTCAAAGCCCACCTGTATTGAAGCTGGAGGCTTATTGTACCCGAAATAGGCATTACAACGGTTCTAGATTGAAATAGATGGGAAAAGGCCTTAAAGGGACAATAAGTATAAGAATATTAGAATTAGAATGATTTGTCCTTGGATTAATAAGGGATATTTAAAACATTAAAACAATTGTGTTTATAAATTAACTACTTTGACTTTTTATAAAAACTATATCCGGTTTTTTAATAGTAAAAACATTGTCATGTGCTATAATGGTTATCATATTATATTTTTATTTTTCAGTAATTTAGTGCTTGTTATGTTCAAAATATGCAGTTAGAAGATAATGAGACACATGTAATTACATGGTAAATCTAAATAAATTAAACTTGTTAAAAATGTGTTTTATTGTTCAACTAATTTTATTTTTCAGTTAAAACAAGTGACATTTTCCATTTTTCAACATTTACCTACAACAAAAATACACTAAACTTATTGTTTCTTTAGTAGTTGTAAGTAAAAGTTGTCAAATAGGAAAATGTTAGCTCAAATTGCTTCAAATATCTAAATTATCAAGCCCGCCAATTTTTAAATCGCTTTAATTAGTAGTGTTCTACTTTATCGACTGAAACTGACAGGTGTAGTTCAAACGTAAGCGCTTAGCGCGCTACTGTCAAGGTCAAGCAAACTTGTTACCAACTATTTACATGGAATCCGACCCCCATGGATAAAACTTACTTGATTTTGCCTACTAAAAAATAAGTACAGTTTCTATTAAATTTGAAAAACAAAGATCATCACATCACTAGCTCTGGTCTGTTGTCCCTTCAATGAATAACATTGAAACATTTTTTTTATATAATACTTTGTTGTTTCAATATAGGTTATTTCATTCACTGTTGGTGCAGTGTCCACCAGTGTAAATTACAGGTTACACCACCTTTCTTCACCTATTTCACTTTCCTCTATTCCTTATATACATGTCGATTGAAATTCACTCCTGCTAAATAGCTGGTGGAAGAAGTATCCACCAGTGGACACCTCAAAAAAACTGACAACATAAATATAATTTCAACTCAAAATGTGTGACCATAGAATAGAGTTAAAAAAATACAATTATTTAATAATTTTGTGAATAAATTTATTATACAGGAGTCATTGAAGACATCAATGTTTTTACAGTCATTTAGGATGTTACTTAAGTGTTTGTAGAATGAATAGGAATACAAATTTATCATTTGATCTCAGAAGCCTGCAAGGAATTCCAATATATTTTCACCAGAATGTTAGGCAATTTATATATTATACACAAGAGATCGAACATTATTATTAAAGTAAGTACCTACAAGTCCTTTATAATAAAACATTTTCTTACCTTATGTCCACTTTCCAGCTGAATGGGAAGACACATATTACATTTAGTACAGTGGAAAAATTTGTGTGCTCCACCAATTCGGCAGATGCCACAACCACTACAATGGAATTGGTTTTTGTCTTCATCATCAAATAAATTACACTCTAAGCAGGCATACTAAAAATCCAAAGCATTTAACTTATAGTCACCATACAAAATATTTAAAAAAATTAAAATAAGGATTATGTATTATTTATTTAGTACCTTTCCAAAAATGATTCCACATTTTTGACAAGTGCTCTGAACTTTCTGTCTGGTATCACAAAGAGCACACATTAATTCCTTGACCTCTTTTCTATTTAATACATGATCTTCACATTCATCATGGCAAAACCTGCATGTATAAATTTTGTCACAACAAGGTGTCTGAAAATAAAAATTCAACTTAAAATTAAATTATCTGATTTTAGTCTAGAAGTTAAAACAAAACACTTAAATTAACATGCTTAGTAAAGTTATTTTTAATTCCATTGCCTTTGTTCACTCTTTTTTTACTTTTTTACTAGGTAACTGCCAAACAACTGTAGAAATACATACAACTTTCCTTCGTCCTTGTAATGAATAAATCATAAAATTCATGGACTTTGAGTAAAAATAATAAAAAGCCATGGAATATTACCACAAATTTTGATTTTCTTTTATAGTGAGTACATCCAACTGGTTTCAATGAATCATCAGGAGGTCCTTCAGCACCAGGGGTTGAAATTGTCTCCATGTTTCAGAACTAAAATGTTAACTCAAATATATCTCTATTAAACTAACTTGCACAATTAACTATTGTATGATTTTGAATAATTTGAACACTAAATTTTTTCCTAAACCCCAAAAATGCACTTATTATTATTCCCAGTCCCAGTTTCTAAACACGTCACACGTCACTTCCACACGGCTACACATGAAAAAAACCACAGTGCCACAGTGTTGCCAGGCAGACCAGATTGAAAATTTCTACCAGCGGTCCTGAAAGTCGCTATCATAGGTTCTTTCGTTCGCTATTGGTGCAGTGTCCACCAGTATAATAACACCAGTTACACCACCTTATTTACATACCTTCCGTTTGGCCCGGAGTAAAATCCACTACGCCAGACTACGCCTTCCTGTCGGCGATGTGGTGTCCACTGGTGGATATTTTCTTCACCAGCTATTTAGCAAGAGTGAATTATACTCGACATATGTGTATCAGGAATAAGAAGGAAGTAAACTAGGCGGTAAATAAGGTGGTGTAACTGCACCAATAGCGAACGAACAGATTCCACCGTTGTGTTAAACGGAGATTAAAATGACATTGTTAATGTAAAAATGTCATTTTAAACTTCGTTTAACACAACGGTGGAATCGGTCCTTATATATGGTATCACACATGTGTAATTGTGTTAACTTGTGATATATCTGTATTATTATAATACCTACCCAGACAGCACACCAAATCCTTTGGATATCTACTGAACATCCCAATATCCACTGAATTTCCAGTCCATGGTAGTAGATATCTATTTTATATCCATGAAATGTAATTTATATACATGCAAATGTCCATAAATAATAGTAATTATAGAGCAAATTATTAAAAAATTACGCCATTGTGCTCGCCATTGTGGCTAATAGTACCGTTCAGATATTTAAAATTAATTTTTTTAAGGTGTATTCAATATCCCATGAACATCCACTAAATATATCAAAGTCTAGGCGCGAACGCAAACCATCGTGGTAATCCACTAGATGTTATTTGATTCTGCTTACTAAGTATAGATGGCGATACCACTATCGCATCTACTCATGCTCGACCCGCCGTAATTGAGTTCGATCGAAATTTTTGTCCTCCAGATTCCATTAGAGACTGGAGTCGAGAATTTTCATTTATTGCTGAAGAGTCCTAATAAGGATGACTTTCTCCTTAGTGGGCAAAATCAAAGGCAGAGAGTGTTGAAAATATTTTCAGTGTTGAAAATATTTTTTATCTCTGCTATTTTCTTTCGACGTTATTCAATAATCATTGGTTACTTATGAACCTCTACTAAAGATACCCATAAAATATTTTGCTGAATATCCGAATATCTTCTATATCCTGGGATATAGATGGACATTTGGTTGGATATCCATATTGGATATATTGAATATCCACAAAATATGTTCTGTGGATATCTCTGTGATTTCTTGTATTTTCTGGAAGATACCCATTAGATATTTTGCTGAATATCCATTAGGATATCTTTTATATCCTGGATATAAACGGACCTTTGGATATCCATATTAGATCCACCGAATATTTCTGATATCCTGTGGATATATTGGATATCCACAAAAGATATTCTGCGGATATCTCTGGGATTTGGTGTGTTGTCTGGGTACCTCTCTACTTGTGTGATATTGGTACTTGATTTGAAAATCTTTTTAATAATAAATTTATACAATTTTTTATTTTGTTTTATTCAGATTTTATTATATCCTTACATATAGTGTGTCCAAGCAATGTAAAATGTTTATTTTAAATTTTTCAAAAAAGTAATTTTTCATAATTTCTTGACGTTAATCGTATTTATTTAACAAGCAAAAGAAATTATGAAGAATTACTTTTTTTTTTAATTTAAAATAAATCATTTTACAAATATAGTCCATGGACACACTGTATATATTGTTGTTGAATGAATTCAAGAATTCACAATATAACATCTAAAACGTTTCAGAGCAATTTTCGGGGAAAGTACCAAGTGCTAGTGTGATGTTTTCCGAACTTCACTTTGTAACCTCTATGAGATGTGCTATAAAAGTCTTGCCGTTGCGGACATTTGGCGGTTGCGTGGATATTAGGGTTACATTAAAAGTACATTGCATGAGAGCTTAAAAATCTAAAATTGCAGCCTATTAATGTAGATGGGAGGTTTTTGTACTAGCTAGGCACATTCTGAGAAAAGAGGATCTTCCAACCATTTTAGAGAAACATTTTGTTCTGTAACCTTTTTTGATTTCCTATTCAAGCCTTCAGTTTTCCTCATCAGAAAAATAAGAGCGAATACAAAACAAATCAGTTACAAACTATTTCTGTCAGACGGTCATGGCTATGTTGATAAATATTAGCGGCAAATAAAATATTGCATTTTTACAGTGAGATAAAGTGTTATTACTTCCGCAAATCACTATGGTGTAATATACCAAATATGAACGGCGGATATCACTATGGAAATTTTACAGAAAGCTATAGATGCTTCCAATGCATACAATTAATTTGGGTAAGCTGACACTTACCTTAAACTCATTGTTGTCCAGTCTCGACCATATAAAAATATGAATTAAATCATTTGTATAATCGGCTAAATAACAATATTAGACTATCCTTATAGCAAAACAACCCTATAAAAATTTTTCGAAACGTTTACAATTCTTTATTTTTTTGTTTTCTAAATTCTGCATGGCTGTATTGACGGTTTTTAAAAATATTAATTCAGACTTGAAACATTTTGGGAGCCACTGGACTGAAGTATCCTGCCCTCCTACCATTTGCTTTTTTTAAAATTGGCAACTGTGTGATCGAGATCGATTTTCTAACCACACCACAACCACAATCTAACCTCATTCAATTTTCACTGTATCTGTACATCACAAAAAATAGATTTTGAATTCCATTTTCTTGAGTTTATTTTAAACATGAGTAGAAAGGAAGCATTATCATCATTTATTCAACAAATCCACGGTAGACCAGTTGTAGTAAAATTAAATAGTGGCGTAGATTACAGAGGTGATTACTCAAACTGCTTTTTTATGTCTTTTTAAAGTTTTTTCATTTTCTTTTAGGAGTTCTAGCTTGTTTAGATGGATACATGAATATAGCTCTGGAGCAGACTGAAGAATATGTGAATGGTCAGTTGAAAAACAAATTTGGTGATGCTTTTATAAGAGGAAATAATGTTTTGTATATTAGTACTCAAAAGAGAAGGTATTAGTTGGTATTAGTTTTAGCGATGTACCATTAATTTTAAGAATAAACATTTTTTAATTTTCTCTAATACCTCTATTCTATCCATATCTTCTTTCTTCTGGTCTGAAAATTACATTATCCATTTTCAGATTTAGATGTTACCAGGTATTTCCAAATAACTACAGATATACTTTTTGGATTTGCCCATTTCTTTCCAAAATCCTTCCTGTGTTCTTATCTGGTTCACTATTCAAAATGAGTATGGCATGTTTACTTAAATTGTCAATATTCAAGATGTATACAAATAAAACTATAACAAAGGTAACATGATAATAATTATTAAACAAGGAGAAATTAACAATAGAAAGTATTTCTGTAATTTCCATAGTCTAGATAATTTTTTAATTAAAAAACTGACTTCAAAATCGTGCAGATGCCCTTAAAAATTGAGATTTTTGATTTTATCATAGATCATCAGATCCTGACCAATTGTATACGGAACTACCCCTGAGGTACTCCCTTTCTAAAAAAAAAGAATCATAGAAATCAGACAATGTGATAAAGAATTATCACTGAAAATACATAAAAAATGAAGAGTGATGATTTTCTCATAAATCTAATCATTAGATTTTGACCAAATTTATATTGGACCACCCCTGGGGGGCTATTTTCAAAGTATGGGAGCACTCATTTCTCTCAAGATTCTCATCAGAAATGTCATACGTCAATGTGGAAATGTTGTTTTTAAAGGCATCGAGGATTAAAATTCTTAGGAAGATTTTAATTCTCTCTAAATAAACCGAGAGAAACAGTCAGTGAATTCACACTGGCCCTAAGAGCCCTAAAAATACGGTTTTACGTTGACGTATGACATTTCTCTTGAGAGAAATGAATTCTCTCGAGTTTGAAAATAGCACCCCGGATCCCAATAAAACATTTTTTGGTTTTTGCATGAACGTAGAAAAAATATTGTATGCAACTCGTGCAAAAAGTGTTTACTTTTTGCACTTGTTGCATAAATAACTATTAAAGGCCGCCAATATTTTAACGGATAAAGGAATTGTTACAGAATAGACCCCAAAGGCTAAAATAATGTCTCAAATAAAATATATTGTTAAAAACCAATTACAAACAGGTACATAATAAAATAGAAATAGAACTATTCGAAATAAGTTAGATAATTAATCTAAAATATATTCTATTATTAGAATAAAAAAATTAAAATAAGGATTCAAAAGAAAAACCCATTTCGGAAAAGTCAGATACATACCTAATTCTAATTAAAATATTCAAAAGAGACAACAAAAAATTTTCAAATAGCAAAATTTGTGTATTTCATAGTTCATCTACTGGAAATTTATATACAGTCTTCTCGCGGTCGACTATCTGGACGCCATACTTGCCTACTTTTTAACCAAGGCACTATCAGAGACAACTTGCACTATGTCATTATCAGGCTCAAAATCTATGACAGTGTTTATTCCCTGAGCCAGGTGCAGATTCAGGGGATATGCGCCTGATTTTGAGAGAGTAAATGATAAAGTATGAGTATACTTGCCTACTTTTTAACCAAGGTAAGGTCATTTGAGTACCTACTAAGGTATTGTGAAAGACAATGTGTATTTTTAAGGTTACGTCTTCTGGATATTTGGAAAAAATTCTGAGAAAAGACTAAAAGAGTTCCAAAATCATTCTAGGCATGAAACAGAATAAAGATGTTATAAAAATGAGGAGTTATATATTCAATGCGGCTTGTTACAGTACAGAACAATACAATAACAATAGGGCGGCTCCAGCGAGAGGATCATGCCCATCCCCGAGATTAAAATTCTTACAATCTATGAGTCTTTTATTTAAAAAAAAAATATGATAAAAAGGGAATGGCACCATTCATAAAATTCGGCCTGGAGCCGCCATTGGAATAATAATTAGTGATACTTGGCATATTTACTGATATTTATTCATTAGTACTAATAATCTTTCCTCCATGATTAGTACCTAGTAGGTAATGGTCGTAGTTACATTAAATAGTTCAAAACTAAAGAAATAAAGTAAATTAAGAGAGGTACAAAACAAAGTAGGTACAAAAATATGCGCCCTAATGCGATACGTGGAAATTAGTAATTACATGCATCATGTAAAGAACAACAAATTCAAAAACTAATAAACGTATAACGTGTTGCCTTGCCTAAATTTAGAAAAAATATTGTAGTCAATGTTGATATACCAAAATCGAAATTGTATCGATTTTTCCAAATTAAAAAAAATCGATACTTCTCGACATCCGTCCACCAGTCAGACAGCTTGTCATTTGTCACAGTGACAAGGGTGACAGTGACAGTAACAGTTCTATAAATTTTATTTTTGGAAAAAGCAAAAAATACAAATTTGCCGTACATAGGCAATGTGCGCTAGTAAATAGATGTTTATCTTCTGAATTTTGTTATTCTTTGTTATTGTCCCACTTCAACTGGAATGTATTAGTGTTCATTTCCTGGTAGAATTCAGTACAATCGTTTCAGGGTCATTTTGGATCTGGGTGTTTATGAATGTGACATCAAAATAAAATACAAAAATCCATATTATCAGTTCATTACATTTTAGCAAATTAAAACGTTAGTGAACAGTAAATTCAGAATGAGTCCATGTAAATAATAAAATATGGCTTATTCAGTTAATACAACACCATTGTTACATTCTCAAGATTCAGATATTGAAGAAGATGTAAATGAAATTAGTATAAGGGACAGCAAACCTTTACTTAAAGTGTTAGAACCTCAGGATAAGTTTTATGCAGCCTATTTTATATTTTATTTATTAGGCATTGTAAGCTTATTACCATGGAATTTCTTTGTAACAGCTGATGATGTAAGTATTCTTAATTCTATTTAATTTTACTCTTAGTATTTTTATGTCCTATTGTTCTAGTATTGGATGTATAAATTTAGAAATGTGAGCAGTAATGTTAGTACAAGAGATGATGCACCTACTAGGAATACATTGCAAGCTGAATTTACATCTTACCTTAATTTAGCATCATGTTATCCAAACCTAGTTATGTTGATTTTAAATACTGTGATAATTCAAAAGTAAGTAGTAAATTGAGATTATCCATATAAATTCAACTTAAAATACCCAGTTTATGATAATTTAAGGTTGTAAACAAATCATCTATAAAGTAGAAAAGATTTGTAACTATTGTGTTAAAAAGTAAAAATATTGGGAAACATATTCTACAGTTGCTCTTGACTGCTGTTGCTACAATGTTGAAAACATCTCATATTTGATTAACCTGTTATACTAAAAAACTTAAGAAGTTATACATGACACTGTCAGATATCTTTTCACTGATTGATTCAGTTACAAAATATTGTAAAAAGCATTTATTTTCTTGTATACCTAAGTATTTTCGGAAACCTACTACAGATTACAAATCCAGATTAGTGGGTTTACCCAGTGTTTAAAAAAACTTAAAAATTAAAAAATTATATAAGTAGATTTTTAGTTTATATATTTATGTCCAGCGGCGGCTCGTGGGGTGGTTCACAGTGACAGCATATAGGTATAAGTACAGATGTATGAAAAAACTTTCAGTGTTTTAGAAAGTTTATAATATGCCTTTCTAAAACACTGACAGTTTTTTACCTATATCTGTACCGGGATCTATATTCTGTTACTGTGAACCCCCAAAATGTTGGTCACAAGCCGCCCCTGTTTATGTCATAAGTTATTATTAATAAAGTTAAACAAAAAATACAAACAAAACTTGAAAAATAGATTCTTATTATATTGAAAAATAAATAAATGGTATTTTTTTTGTTTTATTGTCACTATCATTGATATCAATAGCAAGAAAAAGTGGTGTATAAACATTGATGAAATGTTTTCATTTATTTTTATATACACTCATTGTTGCACCCTGTCTCCTGAGAGTTGATTAGTAAAATTGTGAATTCTTAATATTTATCTTAAAGAATCTAAAATTGTGGAATTTTCACTTTTAGGTTTTTTTTTTTTAAACAATGGATCACTGAACTTAGTGCTGATCTTTTATGAACAAGTTGGATTATTGTTCATTTTTATCTAGGTTTGTCAATTTTTGACTTTTCCTTTGCAACAGTCAATATTATAAACCCTTATTTATTTAAGAGCCATTTTAATTAAAGGATTCATGTTTTTTTTTACACATTTTATAGTATGACTAATAAAGTCCCAATGTGGGCATCTAGCCAAAATTTGATCCTTTTTCATAAACAAGTTACAAGTAATTAAATGTAAAAAAAAAACAGTGTGCATGCAGATCTATTACTAATCTACTCACAAAATTATGATCTCGATCACAAAATTTTGATTTTGATCGCAAAACTGGATGAGTGATCTACTAGTTTCTGAACAAGGAACGGTTAGTAATCCTAGTTAAATGAACAATAAAATTCATAATCTTTCTGATCTGAGTAAGTTTCCGAAAACGCCTCAAAACTAAACAACACATTTTTGATCAATTTAAAAGAGCTGCAACCTATAAATTAATGTTGGTTACATAAACTTTTTACATTATTCTAGACTTAATCATATTTTAGAAAAAAATTAAAAATAAGAGCTATTAACTTGAGAGTCCCCAAAATAAAATAATGAAGGACTTTAACTGTTTTTTAATTTATATAAGTTAAATTTATCGACTTATATTTGAACTTGATTGAAAAACAACCTTAAATTTTAATAATAATTTTTGCTAACTGAGACTTTTTATTTCAGGGTGTCACTTAATAAAAGAGTCTTGGCATCTTTAGTTGTTATGTTAATTTTAATGTTAATAACCTTAGTTTTTGTAAATCTGAATACTGATAGCTGTAAGTATATTACTTTACATTTTTGGTTTTGATAATTACATTATTATCGAGATTATTATCATTTTAAGTAAACTTAATCTATCCAATTAAAATAAAAATGGGTTTTAGTTTCATTAAATTCAGTAATTTAAATAAATTTTGTCATATTTTGCATTTGAAAAATATCAAGCATAAGTACAATTTTGTTTACTGTTAAATAGTAACTAAATTGATTTTTTAACACGTTGGGTGCTGACTTAGATTTTGTGATACGGTCTAAGGCACCATATACACATGTCTCTATATACAGATATATGGAGCATGCATAATATCTATATACATGGTGATATCTCCTTGTTGATATTTGCAAATAACATTTTGAAAATTTAAATATACCTATTTGGAAAAGTAATTTGTAGAAAACTTTGAGAATATCCTATTTTATATCTTTACTTTTTTTTATTTTTTAATTCTAATGCCATACAAAACTGAAAATATTTTAGCTGCAATATAAAAACGGAATTTATTAAATTTAAAAATGTGACAGTTCAATACATTTTTTAAATTAGTTTACTGGATTATTATAATTTATAAAGCTGATAAATTACCTATTTAAAAAAAGTTAAAACCAAAAAATACAATGATATACCTATATAGTAATTATTTTTTAATCATTGTTGAAGAGTGAAAATATAAATATGTATTTTCTACATCCACATGGATATTAGCTTATATACGCACAGACTACAAAAACAAAAAAGTATGTCATTACGTTTAACTGAACGAATATATTTCATATCCATTCTAGGTAGTGAGAATACTGCAAAAAAAACTAAAATCCACCAATCACAGTTCACATTTTGGACACCCAACTATTATTATTTTTAAAATTTTAAATAAGTGACAATCTTGTCAAACTAATTGTCAGTATATTTTTTAGTTATTAAAATTAAATATTCATTAAAATTAGTTATTTTTGTGTAGAATCGGTAAATAATCGTAAATAATAGCACTTTTATTTTTATTTGGACCATATTTTGAAAAAAAAAAAAAAAAAAAATTAAATTTTAATCAAACTATATTTAACTGTTTTAATTACGACTATTAAAACCAAAATCGTAAAAGTGGCCGTAGACGCGTGGTAGAGTGCTTGCCTTCAACGTGAAAAGCCGGGGATCGATTCTAATTTTTTTTTTTTCATATTTATTTTATTTTAAAAATCAGTAAAATTCATAAATTATTTTAAAATTAGTTATTTTGTCTTAAGAACCTAAAATATTTTTTTAATTTGTAGATTTTCGTTAGTGGGTCGTAGAAAAAATATACTGTACAACTAGAGTGGATTGTCAATATCCACTCTTGTTGTACAAACTAATATTTTCACACATTCACACATTTTCTAAAAGTAATAGTAATAATAAATAATGTATATTTCGTATCACATGAAAAATAATCTTTGATTGAATGCAGTGGCGAAATAACATTTACACTGAAACCTAACTATCTTCTACTCCATTTCCATTGTATTTTATTTAAGTAAATTATGGCTTATCTTTGATTGTTTTTGTTTCAAACATGTGGTATATTAGGACATGATTATACACATGTCAATACAAAAAATATCTATAAATGATTCACTTTTATTGTGTTAGAATGACCTTTGCTTCAAGTAAATTCATATCAGTAACTTTATTTTTATTGAAATATTCGTTTTGGATTGCAAATAATATCTGCTTCATCAAGACCAATATGAAATAAAATTGTTTAAAAACTTTGCCACTTCACTGTCATAAAATTGTTATCCTCCACACCCTAATGAAATATGGAGAAGATTGCATCCTCAAAAAATAAATTTTTCTATAATAAAACAGTTGGAATCTATATTTTTTTATATAGTGTGTGCCATTAAGATTTACATGGGAATTTTTTTAATATTACTTTTGAAAAAAAAAACGTCCTAGGACTATTACCTCTAATTATTTAAATGCTTAAAATACTCCATATCAAAGTTGGCTACTGACATTAGCTGTCTGTCAAATTCGCTTTAAAAAAAGGCTAATTTGACAGATAAATAATGTCAATAGCAAACTTTTATATGGATTATTTTAAGTTTTTAAGTAAGTACATGTGAATGCCCTACAATGTTTTTTCCAGTCATAATATTAAAAAAAGAATCCACATGGATCCAACTTAATGGCACACACTATACCATTCCAATATTTTAAATCTTACTGATTTATTTTTGACAGGAACCTTCATAGTTTGGATCCTTAATTGGCAGCAATTGCCTCGAAAGTGCTCGCAAAAGTGTTTAAAGTACGATAGTGCTTCGAGCACAGTGCTTGCAACGACTTTTAAAATACACTGCTCAGTAATTGGTAATTGAAGCCCTTTATAAAAAGTGCATGGTAATTGAATTTCGTATTTCAAGCCATTTAAAGTGCTTGCAAGCGATCAAAAGAGCTTGCAAGCACCCAAGAGAGCTTGCAAGCACTTAAAAGGCTTAGAAGCATAGACTTGAGTGCTTGAAAGCACTTAAAGTGCTCCCAAGCACTGTAGAGGGAAAACTCATTAGTAACAACCATGGGCGTCGTTTGGGGGGCAAGGGGGGCAGTTGCTCCCCTGGTTTTTACGACTTTACAACGCATAATGGCTGTATGTCACAATACTAAATTAAGTACTAAAATTTAGCCCTAAATTAAGTTATTAATTTAGTACTAAATTTAGAACTAAAAATATTTTTCCGTTTGCAACGATACCAATTTTTAGTAATAAATTAAGTATGGGAGCTCGCGCATTGACGTATTATTACGTGAAATTAGCACAGAAATGAAACATTCTGTGTAAATAAGACAAGTGAACTAAAAAATGTTTTTATTATGACTTTGACACTAGTTGACTTGACAACCAAATGCAGCAATACGTGTGTCTTTTTATCCAACTGTTGCAGCAACGTTGGCATCGGTGCAGTATCTACCTGCCTTTTTTTTTTTTCATCAATCTATCAATGATGAACTAACAGCGCTGTCTTTTTATCCAACGTTTATGCAATCGATGCAACACCATTCCATCAGTTCAGTACGATTTTTCCGTTTAGATGTGACAACTGATAGCTGGATTGCGGGAATTAATTAGAATTGAGGAGTTAATTAATTAATTTAATTGTTTTTTTTTGTGGAAAAACACCGAAAAAATGAGTTTTTAAAAATATATACGTCCAAATTAAAGTACCTAGGTACACTCAAATAAAATTATGAACACAAATTTTAATCCAAAATGTCAACTGTTATTTATTTCAACGGTCAAATATAAATAAATTGATTCCTACACAAGGCGTTCAAGGTCGCATCGGTGAAACGGCGATTCCAACAAACCGGTGGAAAAAAAGACACACGTAATGCTATTAAAAACGACAAAAAACAATAAAACCTACAAAATCAAACACAAGCGAAATTTGTCCAAGGCGATAATGCAAAGTTGTCGCTAACCAAAAACAAAATGGTGCAGGAAAGACCGTTGTGTCAACTTTTTCTGAGAAAAACTTAGAACAAGTTCCAATTAATTAATTTTTTAGTACTAAATTTGTTGTTTGCACCGTGATTTTTTTAGTACCAAAAAAATGCATTAATTTAGTATCGTAACATGCAGCCTTAATATATGAATTACTGATATTTCGTTAGGTAGGTACTGTGTGCCACAGTTTGACAACGCTGGATACAGTAAAATTACGTAACTAACACAATTACACAACTGACACTGGCTCATATTGTCGATTGTCGCCGGGCACGCATAACAATAAATACAAGGCATAATATGTTAGGTAGTCTTTAAATTGATTGAATTGTTTAAGGAAATAGAAGAAATAGGTAAATATGACAGGTGTAGAAATCTAAATGCCACGAATTACGGATGACAATCTCATAGAAGTAATATTCAGGTACACCGTGATTCAGGCTAATACAGTTGACGAATATTATAGGTTGAATATATTTATTCCATATCCATATATTACACGTACCTATATATTTTATTTTTTTTAAAGTAGGTTAAAACAAAAAGCAATAGCAGTTTCTGTGTTGTAAATTGTAAAAATACTAGTAGAAAAAACAGTGTAAATTATATAAATTTTCATTAGCAAAATGGAAATTAAATCAAAGAAATAAATGTATAGATGTACAATAAGAAGAAAAAAACCTTTAATTAACAGTTATACTGGAAATAATAGACATCTGAAAATTGAAAGGTTTTAAATAAACAATAAATTAATATTTTACAATGTTGTTCAATATCCATTAACTCTTAAATGTTCAGCAAGGATTAGATTTCTGCCTTTGATTATTGTATGTGGCTGAAATGCAATCTTGTGACTTATTAATAGAAACCCAATTTTAATCAATAATTTTTATGGCTTCTTTCGAACTAAAAATGAAGTAAATATAAATTACAATCGCAAATTTACTTTTAGCTGAAGTAATAAAAATATATAATAATAATTAATTTTTTCACTTGTTTTACAAATCCATATACTTTTATTAAAATCATCATATATATTTTTTAATTAGAAATTCCATTAAAAATTGTATTGTCAGTATACGCAAATATCGTCCGTTAGTTCATAAATTAGTTGGCGTTGCTGTCATACACAGAGCGAATAATTAATGAAAATAGGCTGACTGCGCTTTGCATGATGAGCGTACATCGAAAAATAATCGCAAAAAAACTAAAAAGAAATCATGTTTTCTGTTATCGATTATTTTAGGTAAAGGAAGAAGAAATTAAAAATTAGGGTTTTCCTTGTCTTCGTCGACGTGCTTGAGTGAGTTTTTTGGTTTTGTGTTTCTATAAATATTTTTTTTTTTTAATATTATGTATGGCTCTTCTTGTTCATATTTTTCTTTTATATCACACCTTCTGTTTGTTTTTTAAAAATGTGTTTTAATTTTCTTGTTTTTTTTTTTTAATTTTAGTTTTTGTCTTTTTTGTTGTTATTTTATTTATTAGAAACTTTTATTAATTTGTATTGCTCTTTTATTATTCATTTTATTTGTTTTTTAACAAATAATTATTCTAAATTTTTTCAAAATTTTGCCCCTTCCTATAGAATTGTGTAACGACGCCCAGGTAACAACTAACAATCATCTCTTACACACACATACACAATGCAATATGCTAGCTTGTCCTCCACAAAATCGTCAAATTATCAAAGTTAAAGAGTTAAAGTTATTTTAGTTACAGCTCAAGATTCTTAGATTAGCAGAACTGTTTAACTGTTCCTACCTACTCCCTTTACAGTATCTTTCTCCTCCTTGCAGATAATTTGTGCTTTTTTTTATTGATTTCTTAATTTTTTTGAGCAATTGCCCTGGTCTGGTTTTGATGTTAGGGTTGGCATTTAAAAATAGAGAGAAGATAAAAAATATAATTTTTGTCCAGCTGGCAAAAAGATGATTGCTAAGGATGAAAGGCTAATTTTTAAATATAAAAAACATTTTTTTTTTCACTGTTAAGGAAGACTTCATAAAATAGTATATTATGCAACGATCATGTAATGATGGTTATTAATACACGAGCATTAACCGGGATACGAAACGAGCCAAAGGCGAGTTTCGTATGGTTTATGCGAGTGTTTTAATAACCATTACATGAGAGTTGCATACGCTATTTTTTCTACACCCGATAAATAATCAAGACCTATAAATATTATATTTATATTGGTATTGAACACAATAACAGTAATTACTCGTATTTCTATAAAAAATTCTACAAAATTGTAATTAATGGTATTACTTCAGGTATTGGTATTTCCCTAGATTTTTGCGGTAAAATATTTTGTACTGTATTTTCTGCTTTCTCCGATATGTGTGGAGGAGTCTTCTATATCGCTAATATCAGACATTTTAATATTATAATTATCGAAGTTTAGCTACCTACGAAAATTTAATACGTTTTGACAACTAAAATAATTACATAGGAACCTAGGACAAACGTCAAACAGCATGCTTGATTGAAAAATTGTAGGTTTCTATTGATTAAAAATCTGTATCGTAATGAAAAATCTGTATCATAATGGGTATCATTATGAAACGGATTATGGGCATATAAGTGCATTATTATAATACGGGTGTAGAAAAATGATTTTATGTATCTCATAGTTTCACAGTCTCACAGTTTGGACCTCGTCAGTAAAATATTTGGCACATTTACTTGTATACATATTTTATTAAAAAGACTTTAAATTTTGGAAGGGTATGTAGAAAAATTCCATTTCGAGGATGCCATCCCCTCCTTATTCCACTGGGACGTTGGGGGATTTTTATAACTACATTTTTTTATAAAAAAACCATTTTACCATTGATTTTAAAAATAGTTTTTGATTCTTCAAAATGGTATTTTTTTAAATTGATACTGTAATGACAATTATTCTTTAAACTTGAAACCTGTCAAATTAATAGTAATCAGTAGATTTTCCAGTATATTTGGAATGTTTCTCCTTTAAATTGTCAAAATTTATCTTTGAACTGTTTCAACATTTTTTTACATAAAATTACTAAATAATGTCATACATATTGAATTTTAAAACATTTTAGTGGAAACCACATATTTTAACTCTCTATTCCTTTAATTGCTTTAAGTTGTTAAAATATAATAGAACATTCCGCATAATTATTCTAGAAAGTTAAAAACCTGACCTATTATTATTTATTTTTACCAATATGATTAACTTAAATAGCTATTCATGAAACCAGTTACGAAATGTCTTATTTTATGTAACGAGCAGAGCGAGGTCCCGCAACATGAACGAGTTACCTTAAACGGCATTTCGTAAAGTGTTACATGCAATATTTTTTCTAATTTTGACTAGATTATTTATAAAATTATGTTTTGACATTACTGACATCTAGGCAACCAATATTACCTTGATAAATAGAAAGTAATGCATGTATTCTCAACGATTTGAAGTGTTTATATCATTTATTAATTTTTTTGTTTTTCCAAAAAAGTGGGTTATTTTGTTGTGTATTTTGTTTCAATTATTTGGGTGCTAATTTATAATTAAAAATAAGGACCAAACCAACATTATTACTAGGTTGTAAGTTTAACCAAATTATATTTTTATGAGTAAACCTGCCCTTCTTTGATATAAACTTTCAATAATAATGTATATTATTGATTATAAAACCAAAAAAAGGTATATTTTCTTTTGTTTTCTTTTCGCAATTGGTGACATGGATTTTTCGAAACCAGTTTCATAATTTTCAACATTATGCAACTGGTTGCGTAAAGTAGATCATTTTGACACTGGCTGCGATTACAAAAAATGTCAAAATTAGAAAAATTATATTAAGTAATCAATAATTAATCATTTTTTTCTATATATATTTTAGTATTCAATTTATTTACTAGATTATGTTAATAGGTTGGGTTTAATTTTTTAATCCAAAAAATGTAGAAAAACATGTATATTTTATTTATAAAATATTTTTAGGGCAAGAAGCATTTCTGTGGTTGACCTTATTTATTACTCTGTTACTTAATGGTATGTATAGTAATATTTTATATATTAATATCCTTTAGAGACCCTTCAAAACATGCAATATTAAGTTATATCCTGGCACTTTATTTTTCTAAGATTATTTATCATTGTCAATAATGTCTTTCATATTAACGTTTCCATTTTTTAAATACAGTATTCCAAATTTGTTTACAAAAAAATGCACATTTAAAAATATTGTGTCTTCGACATATTTCCATTAACTTCAAAATTGCAATGCAAATATTACTTTTTGAAACTCTTTATTGAACTAATTTTGTATCCTATAAAATTATAACAACTTTTTCTTTACAATGACTACATTTCGAAACATAACTATGTTTTTTTTCAACATTATTTCTTGGTTTTATTATTCTTTAGTTGTAAGTCCTATTTTTGGTGGAAGTATAATGGGTATAGTGGGAAAATTTTCTCATACTTACATCACAGCAGTGGTAGGAGGACAAGCTCTAGGAGGAATTTTTGCAGCCCTTACCCAAATTGCGGCCTTAGCCATAGGGGCTTCCTCGACGCATTCCGCTCTAGTCTATTTCATCATAGGAAATTTAACCATACTTTTAGCAATACTTTTATATTTGTATTTATCGAAATCTGCATTTTTCAACTTTTACGTTGGTGATCAATCTGTGATAAACAATATCCAAAATGAATCTCTACAATATCAGGAAGTAGTTTCTTACAGAATTGTTTTAAAGAAGATATGGGCTTATGGATTGTGTATTTTCTTCATTTTTGTTGTAACAATATCTGTATTTCCCGGAGTTATGGTATTGATTGAATCTGAAGGCAAAGGACATGGTAGTAGATGGAGTGGTGAGTAATTACTTAATTTTTTATTTATAATTTTTGCTATTTCATTGTACAATCTGTACACATATGATTTTAACATTTTACATTGCTAAAGTTGATAAGTTTGAGAATATTGAGACATTCAACACAAATAGAGTGCAGCAACTCCAATTAAAACGTTAAAATTTAGGACTGAAACGTTAGTAAATTAGTTTATTTACAACCATATATGTAATGCTGTCATTACTAACGTCATTGAAGGTTGGGAAGTGTCACATTACATACCTCTACTTCCCGCCCTCATTTCATCTATTCTAGACAGAGATAATAATTCTAGATGAATATTTTTTATATTTAAAAAAAAATAACATATTTTTTTGACAAATTTTATAATACCTATTTAATGGCAAACAATAAAAAAACAACAGTGAACTAAAATACAACAAACTACTTATTGATATTTATTATTCGCGAATTTAATATCCGGCTTTATCTGACATTTATTTATATTGGTGACAGTTGTTTACCACGTAATCACAATAACAATATATTGATTATTCTGAGAAAACCGCGCGCTTCGTAATTTGTCGTTAAATGTAATATTTTAGGTATGTTCAGAACGAAACAGAGATTTATTAACTTTGATTGAAATATGATGGATGTAAATAAAATAGTATACAAACCTCGGTAGGAAATTTCATTCCTGTCTCGAGATCATAGCTAACCTCGACGCTTCGCGTCTCGGTGATCTAACTAATCTCATGACAGGAATGAAACTCTTCCCACCTCGGTGTGTAATATACTATTTCTTTGATAGTGAGATTGTTTATTTCCAATAAAAAGTAAAATAACTTAGGATTTTTTTTTATTTACAATTTTTACCATTAATATGATATATTGCTTGAAATTAGGTTGGAAAATGTTATAACAAAAAACATATAGTCCAAGAGCCCGTGAGAGCCAGACCTTCGGAATTTTATAAAAGCTGAGAGTTCTTCTGTGTATGTCCCCAATACAGGTAAGAATGATCCCCACTTATGAAACCTGAGTAGTGGTGGCTTTGGCAGGTAACAGGTAGCAAAGGTGCATAAAATTCCACCTCAAATTTATTAATTTATAAAACTCAATTTTTTTATATTTTATTCGTAATAATATTAAAACTCGCGTTGCTCATTGCCAGACACTTGATATGGTTACAACCCTCTGCCAGACACCCCTGAACTATTATAATTTGTAACTATACTTACGTTATATTATAAAAGCTAAATTTTATATATATTGTTTGGACAACTATTAAATAATGTTTCCTTAATAGCCAGACAATTTCGAGGGTTATATCGTCCTGCCAGACGTATTAAATATGTACAATAGTTATGAGTGAGAGGAGCATATGCAGCAACGGGTGTGAGAAATAGAGTGTGCAGTCTATTGCGATCTTTTACTGCGCATCAGCTGCTCATTGTGTATTATGTAGTGCGCGGTTATGCTCACAGTAAACGTACATCAAAAGTGGCGAAGATCTAATAATATTTACCGAGAAGACTTTAAAAAAGTGTCAGAATATTCTAAAATTAAGAAAAATACACAAACTTAAATACAAAGACGTTATTTTACCTAGTGAATATACAGAGAGTGGTTATCACAGATCATGTTATAAAGCATTTACAGGTCTAATGAAAAAATACTTCACCTCTGAACCTATAAGTACTGAAAAAAAAAAACAAGCAAGTTGTGTTGTTACAGACAAATCATTTCCAACTTCATCGTCGACTCCAGATTTGAGTTTAGAACCACCTGATACAGAGTCTTCATCAATCGAATCTTCAACAATATCTCTACAAATTTTATTTTCTCAGTCAATAGAAACACAACCGTCAACATCTCAAGATGAATCTTCCACGACATCTCAGCCGACTCCAATTTCTGACTCAATAGGTCTATAATCTTCAATTCTTCAAGATTTTTCTGGTATTTTTGAACCGGATGTTAGTGATAATAATATTGTAACTCAGGACGTAAATACTTCGACTGATAATATTGCTGGTAATAATGAAAAAACAACGCGTAGCAAAACGGAGTGGCATTATCACCGAGAATATCACCAAATAGTTTTTAATGAAATCAGTACAATCATTAAGGAAGACGTGATTAAAAAAGGACACTGTTTTTTATTAATTTATTTACATGAATTATATATCGATTCATTAGAAAAAATTTTCCAAGAAAATTCTATTGACAGGACTGTTACTTTTACACACCACCTTGAAGAAAAAATTTTGAAAAGATTCTCTAAGGATATAAAGTTCTTTACTGTTCGCAATAAAAAAATAAAAGATCGCAATAGACTGCACGCTCTATTTCACACACACCCGTTGCTGCATATGCTCCTCTCACTCATAACTATTGTACACATTTAATACGTCTGGCAGGACGATATAACCCTCGAAATTGTCTGGCTATTAAGGAAACATTATTTAATAGTTGTCCAAATAATATATATAAAATGTAGCTTTTATAATATAACGTAAGTATAATTATAATAGTTCAGGAGTGTCTGGCAGAGGGTTGTAACCATATCAAGTGTCTGGCAATGAGCAACGCGAGTTTTAATATTATTACGAATAAAATATAAAAAAATTGAGTTTTATAAATTAATAAATTTGAGGTGGAATTTTATGCACCTTTGCTACCTGTTACCTACTAAAGCCACCACTACTCAGGTTTCATGGGCGGGGATCATTCTTACCTGTATTGGGGACATACACAGAAGAACTCTCAGCTTTTATAAAATTCCGAAGGTCTGGCTCTCACGGGCTCTTGCTCTAATAGGATCAATTTGAAAAATGATTATTTGGGGTCGTTTATTTGAGTTTATAGTAGCGGCAGAAGTTGGAAAGGCTTTTCGAAGTTCTCCCACTTTGTACACATAAATTGACAGTTTTGCGGCGGAGCTAACCGAACTGGACGCGATACATTGGCGTACAAAATTATTTTATAGATGTTAATAACAATTTTGGGTAAATAGTTTAATAAATTGTGAATAGCTGTTGAAATTTTGTAGGATTATGATTTGTATATTATAATACTTGTTTAGGTAATAATTATTTCTAGTCCATAAATACATGCGACTGTCCGGTTCCGCCGGTAACAATTTAAAATTACTTATTCTATGAAACGACACTGGCAGGTAAGCATTACCGCGAAATTCTCGAAGCCGTCCGACTAGTGTTGCCAGATTTTAAAAACCTAAGGCGCAAGTTCAGTTGTGGAAAAGCGCCCAAAAGCGCAAGTGTCCAAAATGGGCAATTAAAATGCGAAACGCGATTTTTTTATTACAGTATTTGTAATTATATTATTATGGAGAAAATGAAAAAAGTTACTTCATTTTTAAAAAAGTATACTTATCTGCTAATTGGGAAATTCATCCAAATGACGTCATATTTGCTACATAAAAAGACGCTAACATATTTGACAAGCAAACGTAAATTAAGTAAGGTTAAGCTCTCAAGAAGTTCTTTTCTGTACCAATGCGTTTTCCTTTGACATTTAGCCACATAGCATTAGCAATACAGTTCCGCCTACTGTTACGGCTTACGTGTCTTTACAACTTTTTGAAACCCTCACGGTTTTCTGTCTAACTTCGAATTTTAGATATGGATGGAAAAATATGAATAAAAATATTCCAGTCTGCGGCGCAGTGCGGTGCAATAGAATCGCCCAATTTGCGCTTTGCGCTTTTCAGATTTTTTCCGGCGCAAATGACTGCTGAAAAGAGCCCAATTTGCGCGAAAGCGCCCAATCTGGCCACATTGCGTCCGACGTGGTTTGACGTTTACCCCCTCTCTACGTACCAAAAGCCTTTCTAACTTTTGCCCCTGCTTTACCAAGTTGACGATTTTTTCATTCCACACACACCATAATTTAAATATCCTTATTATTCTTCTTCTAAATCTTTTTTTTATTATATTTTTTTTCAGTACAATTTTAATACAAAAAAATACAAATTCCAAATAATTATCAAAATTACAAATCGTGTTGTTAATAATTAATTAATAATAATCAATAAACTATAAATAATCAATTGATTTTGTTAAAATTTACAATTGATTTCAATAAAGCTAAAATGTAAGTAGAAACTCAATTGAAAAATAAAATTATGAACACAGTTGAGCTCCTGTGCTTTTACTGGCATAAACAAAATAAAAATTCTTGTATTGTTAATAATTTATTATCAATTTATTTTAGTAAATTTCAGCATAACATGTAGATTACAGACTATAAGAGTTTCGCCCCATTATTGAGTTACAACAAACTCATTATCTCACCAGACTTGGATAGATAGATCTTTATTGAATTGGGAATCCTAAAATTAAATATAAAAAAAATTAAAAGATTTTACGTATAAATCTAAAGTTATATAAATTAAAACCATTCATTACACAAAAACTAGAATTTACAAAATCTTAATTAAATTGTATATTTTTAATAAATTTCTTAAGTTTAGTTTTAAGACAGTTTACAGTGGTTGATTCACATACTGATGCAGGGAGTTCGTTGACTTTTTTTAAAACCTTTAAATAATAAAAAAGTACCTACTTTCATGTGTAGTTCTTCCAATATGGATGCTATTTAAGTGGCTCAGTTTCTTCCTTGGCTCACCTACAAATTTTAAAATTTGCCGTTGTGCATAACCCTTCATAAAAATACATAAATATTTCAGTTCCAAAAGCCAATCTGTATTTTAAACTATACCAGGCTAAAACAATAGAGATGGATACCTTACTGAAATATTTAGGTATTTTTATGAAGGTTAGTAGTACAAAGCTTTGGCCGAAGTACCCATCAACACTGTGGTCACCTTAAGATGGATCATAGGTCACGCCACATCGAAAGGTTCACTGCCCAAGAAGGCTGCAAACCAAATACTTTTTGTACCTGTCCCTGCTATTGGCCTGACAAAATCGGTAGTGACAGACCTAACTAAAGAACATTCCCTTGTGAAATTCTAAGAAAGATGGAATGAAACAAGAAACTGCAGTTGCTAGGGATCTTTTAAGTTATCCTGACAACACTACAGCAAACAAATACTTGACTGTGACTAGACAGAATCTGCGCCTGGTCACAGGTAATCTGGCTGGTCATTGCCAAGTTCGGAAGCATCTCCATATAACGGGGCTGTGAGAATCCGCACTCTGCAGGGGTGCTAACAAAAATATGAGACCATTGAGCATATTCTCTACGATTGCCCGACGCTCTCATTTATTATTTGTGTTCGGCGAGTGTCGACTAACACCGGCCGATATAAGAGAAGCACCTCTTGGCGACGTTGTCAACTGTATTAAATCTGTAAGCTGGCTCATGAACTAAAAGGTGCCTATAATCTTAGAAGGATGCACAATTGGTCTAGTGAGGCCTAAGTGCCGTGGGGGGTAACCCACCTCCCACGTTACATATAATTTGTAACGATTCAATGTTCCTAAATTCTAATCTAGTAAGCTCGTGTCAAATTTTTAATGGTTCCTGTATTTGACAAGGTCTCAGTTAATCAAATTTGAAAAAAATATATTTTAAGATGTTTTTGATTCATGGCAAATTTTGAATTTAAACTTTAAACCAAGCTCTTTAAGGGTCCATGTTCCTATATAAAAATTCATAAATTAACAAGAGCTTTCTGTGGTAGAGCGTTGTTGGTCGAATAAGTATTGATCATTTAATAAATGTTATTAATGACTTTATTAATGGGCATTTGCAGGTCTTAAATAGTTTCATAGAGGTCGTGGTCTATTCTAACTATAATAAGAAATATAATGATGTAGCATTTGATGGGTGCCGTATTAGCAGTATTTTAATTTCTGTTAATATTGCATCCAGATTACAAATTGCAGTGCGTTACCGTTTCGATGATGGTGGGCGAGTTTTTCTGGGTTTTCCTCACCTGTAAGTCAAATAGCATAAATCATCTTTAAGTCGCCCCGGAGCGCCACGCAAATAATAATAATAGCTGTCCTTTTCCCACACAAGCTCAGTCAGCTTCAGGGGTTGAAAATTCACCCGTAAAAGGGGTTTAAGAAAAAATACGTACATAGAAAAAGGTTAAATCCTGGTTACTGTAAACCCAATCTTGCCAAAATTTGGTTTTTACAAAAAAAAAAATCGATTTTTTTAACAATTTTCTCAATTCTTTAGAAAAAAACTGAATAACATTTTATAAATTGTGGTTCCAGAGGAACAGAGATTTAATATTTACCTATAAATAATATAATAAACTATAAAAGTGGGAAATTCCGTTGGGTTAGAGTTGTTTCCTTGTTATATGCCATGATGCATTTTTTATTTATTTACATTTAAAAGAACATTTCATTACTAATATTATTAAACATTTCCCTAATAAAAGTAGTTTCAGATTAACGAAAATTATTATTCAAATAACTGAATATTTTAATAATAAATATTTTCTTCACTGAACAAAATTATCAAAAGAAGACTGTTCAGCATCAGCGCGGTTCATTAAATATCCTTAATTAGTAAATATTTATTTCTAAAATTTGCCCCCTCCCTATACTACGCCACTTGGTCAGTATTCCTTCCCAAAAGCTAGACTTGGGTGTGGTGGGGGAAGGAATGCTAGCGAAATTTATGCTGCAAGCCTAAATAATATTTTCTGTTAAAAAAGACCCATTAAAAAAAATTTAAAACTTTTTTGAAATTTTCTCGCATAATATTGGATTAATTTTGTTTGACATGTATCTCAGTTTCTTGTCATTTTATTTTCAAACGTTACAAAATATAGTGTTAAAAAAGTTTTCTATTCACCATTTTAACTCATTTCTGTGCACACAGCCATTATAATTTTTGATTCCTTTTAATTTTAATTTATTGTTTTACGAAGAAAAAATATACTGGAACTAAAATGTATTCAAATTGTTTTGACGTAC